AAATAATTGTTTGATAATATAAAAAAAATATATTTTAATAAAAATTAGATATGGTTTTTACTTTTAATTTTTTGTTTCGCCAATGACTTCAATAATTTTGATTTTCGTCAAGGGTTTTGACTTTTGTCAAAGGTTTTGACTTTTGTCAAAGGTTTTGACTTTTGTCAAGGGTTTAGTCTTTCGTCATTTTTTAGTGATTTGACGAAATAGTTTCTCAATTCCAAAAACATTTCGTCATACATCATTAGTATATACTCGACATCAAACTGGTGAACAGACTGAATATTCGAATATCATTATTCTTATTTGATGACGATTGAGTATTCAGATAAATTTTATGAAAGGATGATTGGCAAATATCAGGAGCTGGAAACTTATATTAGTATTAGTATAGGACCCACAAACTATATAGATAGGTTACTGCTTATGCTTGCTGCTCATACTATGAGATATCAGTAGAATCCCCATCCCATATCCCGTGTCCCATATTAACCAATCAGAATTTCGTCACACATTAAATAATTATTTTTACACGTAATATTTTTAATGTTCGTTGTGATTCGCTTGTGAAAATGGCGAATATTTATTTTTTTTATTAAATTACACTTTGATAAATAGGCCGATGAAATAGAAAATTTATCAATTTCTGAAATTAATACAAATACCAGAAATTCTAGACAAAGAGGTTAAATCTAGAGACCCAGTATGGAATTATTTTAATGAAACAGAAATTTCACATGATTCTCACCTGTCAGCACAAAGTAAATTTTGCTTCAAGTCATGGAAGTGCGATAAACCTTCTGACTTGAAAGAGTATTTAGCTCTGAAATGCTCATTGGTTAATATATAAGTAAAAGTAAAATATTTTAAGATTAATTAAATCAGATGATATATAGAATCTGTAAATAAAAGGTAAAGAGGAAGCATTGGAAATAATATGGATCTTCATTCTTATTTTGACAGTAATATAATAGATGCACCAAAATTTCAAGAGCAAATCAAGAAATGGTTTGCTTTTTTGTGTGGAATTCCTTTTATTCACCTTTCTTCTGTTATTTTGCAAAAACTTTATGCAGTGGTTATGAACCTCCAAAACATATCACCTTGTCTAATCATCTGTTATATTTCGAGATTGCCAATATAATCTTAAAGATGTGTGTAATTCCAAAAATTTGACTTTAAGTAATTAATTTTTTAAGTAAATTTTTATTTGATCATTATTTGTGTAATAATAAAAATTATTAAAGAATCAAATTTTCCTTTTAATTGTTTTTATGGTTTTGCAATAAATGATAAATTTTTTATTAATAAATATATAATACTTTTTGTTAATTCTATGGAATATGGGACATGGGATGGGATATAGGATTGGGTTGGAGTTGGATGGAATGGGCATGGGATAGGATGGAATTTTTAAGGATTTGAGTATGGATGGCAAGTATATTACTGCTGCAGCTGGATCAAATCTTATAGTAAATAGACTTAAAAATTTTACTATTTAGAAAATGCAATGTTGGTGAAAATTACCAAATTTGGAAAGATTCTCTACAATAAGCCAATCACAGCGTGGGTCAAACCCTATATCAAACCGTGATTTTTTGTATGTAACTTATCTATATGGTTTGCAGGTCCCTATTAGTATTATTACTAGATGTTCTCGTAAAATTGGATTTTACCCAATATTCTATTTAGGACCGGAGTTATAAAAGATCTTCATATAACCGATGATAATTTTTTTTTTAGTTTTAAAAATTGTCATCAATATTTGGATTTTTCATACGCCAAATAATCAACTATTACTAACTACACTTTTTATTGAATTCTTCATCCATCCATCCGTTTACCAATCTATTCATAATAAATAATAAATAAATGTAGAAAAAATATTTATACATACAGTAAATAATTAATTCTTTTTTGTTTAATAAAACACTTTTGTGGTCAGGAATTAAACAATAGGATTTAATTATCTATTTGGTCATCCGAATGGTATAGAATTTGGGGTGTCGAGTATTTTGTTTTGGTATAAAGCAAAGGTTTGATTTTTGGTTTTTGTTATGCGTAAACATTTTTGTTTAACTTTTTGTAGACGTGCTTAATTGTTTAAGTGTAAACGTAAGGTTTTAAGACTAATTGGAAAAAGTATTAAGCGTCAACAGTTATCATCACCACATATTGTATTGTGTTACAGTAATTGTTATAAACGTAAGGCTGGCTTTAATCAGCCAAAGAAAAGCAAAAATTAAATAGGAATTTTATAATTGCATTATTATAATACGTTGTTATTTGTGTCATAAATCATGCTTACTGATTCACTGAAACCTTCTAGGTACAAGAAAGAAGCAGTAAGCTGGATAATTGTAAATAATTTCTTTTATCGCATCTGGTAATAAAGCCATGATTTGCTTATTTTAACATTTTCTTTTTTTTTTTTTTCGAAGCATCGTTGTGCCTTGAATCATTTATTATTATATATAGATTTTTTTTAATATATTTAATTTATTTTTATAAATGACGATTCTCGGAATTATTTTTTTTCTTTCATGAGTTACCATTTAGGTTTTTGTTTAACATTGTACAACACAAGATAAAAATATCAAACAACTCAGTAACTCAAAACGCCGAATATATAGTATATTAAATTTACGAGATTTAGAGAAAACAATATGTCTGTTGCTGAAAAATTTATTTTAATACACAAAAAAAAAATCAAAAATAAAATATAATAATATTAAACCTTCGAGTTTTCATTCTATTGTTTTTCTATTTAGTCTTAATTAATTTTATCACAATTCAAAACATATTTGTCTACAATGATAATAGTAAATGGAATCCGGTTCATTAAAGACAACCGATGGGAATTCATGAGTGTAACTTTACATAGTTGAAGTATTCTCTTCAATGATAACTATAAAAGATTATTTTTTATCTTTCTAATTGAAAAAAATTTTTTTTTGATACTAACAGCACAGCTTTTATTATGAAACTCTTTATTTTTACGGCACAACCCTTATTTGGAATAATAAGGGGTTTTATTTATATTATTTTTATGTTCTACCCTGCCAATAAAAATAATCATAAAATTTAAAGGTTAAATATTTTTAAGAAGGCTAATTTTCGCTCTGTTTGTTCATTAAAAACATGATAACGATAATGATAACTATTCTTGAAATAAACCATAAATTAAATATTTAATTTAAAATTATATTAGCTTCGTGTTCTTTAAACACGTTATGATTAATTCTTAGGACTTGGCCTTCTTCAATTAATTATAAATCGCCAATTTCCAAGTAAAAATATAGGTCAATGAATTTGTAATCTCTCATAATCATTGGTTTCATTCTTTAATAATACCAGCACAAATTTCTTTCTTCCAATTAAAATATTTATTAGTTACACATTTCTATACAAGTATTTCAAAGTCTTATTCATTTGTCTCATTGATTGATAAGATTAATGGTTCATTTTTTATTGGAAAGCATTAAAAATCATATCAGTCTGGATTTTTATTATAATTATACTCTATGATAATTTAAAATGACACATGAACCATTTTTATCATTCTAAGAAATTTTATTTCTAATTTAAGGATGTTGTACACTTTTTGAAAATATATATTTGACCTTTGATCATAATAGAAAAGTTGTTTCGCGAAAAGTTACGGAATTACTTAGAACCAACCATTTTTCAATTATTTGTACATATTATTTATTAATAATAAACAACAATAAAAAGTTTTTATTTATTTTATGAATCCTTCTATACTTTTTATTGTGTCAAGATAATCTATTACATACATTACTTGCACCTAATGCGGGATATAGATCTCCGGGTATCGGTCGGGTAACTAAACTGGTAGATCAAGTTCTATTTTTATTCCTACAAATTTTAATTTTTAGTTACTAATATTTAAAAAACGCCGAATACATATAATATTCTAATTAACGAATCTAATTAAGATTTACTCTTGCCATTTTTCAGATCATAATAGAAAAGTTGTTTCGCGAAAAGTTACGGAATTACTTAGAACCAACCATTTTTCAATTATTTGTACATATTATTTATTAATAATAAACAACAATAAAAAGTTTTTATTTATTTTATGAATCCTTCTATACTTTTTATTGTGTCAAGATAATCTATTACATACATTACTTGCACCTAATGCGGGATATAGATCTCCGGGTATCGGTCGGGTAACTAAACTGGTAGATCAAGTTCTATTTTTATTCCTACAAATTTTAATTTTTAGTTACTAATATTTAAAAAACGCCGAATACATATAATATTCTAATTAACGAATCTAATTAAGATTTACTCTTGCCATTTTTCATGCTTGTCATTCATCGATTTCTTTTTGAAGTCAATAAAGCCAATATTTATTGCGTTCAATAATTCTAAATTTAATCAACGTTGTCATTTTTTCAAGCATTTTTATTGTCCAATATAAGAAATCTATTTTAGCTACTAGCTCATTATTGGAAGGGGTGTTTATGTGTGAGTTGAAATCTGGAAATTAAATTATTTTAAAACTTTGTTTAAAGCGTATTAACAAATTTTTTACATTACGAAAATATAAAAAAAAAATCTCTGATCCTTTCATTTACGATTATTGAAATTAATGAAAATGTCACCAATAACAGAAATTATGAATCAATAATGAATCGCCGTCAGCATATTTACTTTGTATGATGTATATTATCTGTCTGATGATCAAAATATTCATGTCATTAATTTTATTATGTCGCGTATCATCACAGTTTTGGAAATTATTTAGAATAGAAACAATAAATTGAGACGTAGAATAATTATAATTATAATAACAAAAGGTCAAGAAATTTGACCATAAAAATAACCACAGAAAATTTTTGTAATAAGATGTTTATTTTCTAAAATTAAACCAGTTTGTATGTTACATTGCATATTAATTTAATTTTACACATAACGAATATGTAAAATTCACCCAACAGTAATCAACTACCATCATCGTCATCGTAATCTTCTTTATAGAGTAAGTTTCGAATATTTTTCTTTGTTGAAATGCCAAAAACGTTCTACTTAAAAATAAGTGGAGCAAAACAAAATTGAATAACAAAGACTATTTTCGAAGAAAATGTAAAATTCGCCACAAATAATTCGAATAAAATAATTTCCCTATTGCAGGTGCACAAAATTTGTTTTCACGTGCCTCACAACCTTTTTTGTGCTTTTCACATGACCACAAAATTTTCAAGGCATTTGTTTTTGAAAAAAATCTATATATTAATAATACATTAAGACTTGATTTAATTTGATTGATGAATAAAAATTATATCGGGCATCCTCAAAAATTAAATCTACCATTATAAATTAAATAATCTAAATAACTATTGACTACATGATTTCTATAAGCAAGTATTACCTGTTTTAATATTGTATATAACTAGCAATTCTTTGTAGCATGAATAATAAATATAATTAATTTTTAAAATAAGTTTTTTATTTTGATCTTTCAACGGCTTTCAAAATACTGTCAACCCCCTAAATGCATGCGCTTCTCATTCCCATCCTAATGATGAGCCTACAATCCCTCAAATGCATGCTTATGAGTGATAATGATATGTTCCAAGGTGGTGGTGCACTTAGAAGAGGTGACTGTGTCATTATAAAATATCGAGGGCGGCCATTAAGTAAACACGGGCGGGATAACTTGTTTATGAAACGGGAAATAATTGGTCATTAAATACTAGGAAAAATCTGCCAAAGTCAAATTTGGTGGTGACTTGTTGAACAAAATAAGGTTTATCGGCCAAATTTATTATTATTATAAATTAACGGTGGAACAAAAATATAACGGAAAATTTTTGCAGA